TGACTGCATCAATCACATGGTTAAAGTTGGAAGGAATAAAGAAATCCTTAATTGTTTTCAGTTTCCCTGCGGTTTTTGCTTCGTTAATTAACCTACCGACTTCTCTCATTTTCTGCCTAATGTAATCATGCTTTGTCTTATCATGCCCGTGTTTTAAGTACAGGTGCTCTCCGAGTCTCAGAATCCCCTTTTCTGCTTTGACAACACCCGTGACCTCATCCTGATGCATTGCCGAAATTAAAGACCACAGCTTTTTGCTGATGCCCTCCGGTACAGGCTGGGCTAGGGAGCAGAGGGACTGGACCCTACTTCTACCTGGTTTAGCCTGGGCATCTTTCTGTGAAAGCCGGCACCTGGCCACATGCCTCCACAGCGACTTTCGCTTAAGCAATGCCCCACAGTCTATACAGTGCAAAAACTCACTGGATTTAACTGGGGAATTTGGCTGTTTAGCTGGGACTAAAGTTCCAATGCCGGCCTTTAAAACCTCAAAATTGTGCTCACGGTTTCCACTATTCCTGATCAAATCAAACTGAAGTTTACGTGCTTTAGATTTCACAGGTAGAGCCAATGCTCTGGCTACGTCACTTTCATTTCCATGTTTTCTAGTCAAATGACGGGACATTTTGTGGCAGGACATTGAACAGTAGAGGCAGAAGTGTCTCTTGCTGTATACTCGCCCCCCATTTTTCTTCTTTTGCAGCTGCATGATAACAATCTTATTTGCCTTTGGTTCGTCACTTTCCGAGTCTTGAAGAAAAGTGTTTTTGATTTTTCTTTTTCCATACTTTTTTACAGGTTTCTTCTTGACAGTTAAATCGTCAGAATCTGAGTCGACTTCATCAATTAGGGACTCTTGACTAAGCTGCACAAACAACAAATAATTTGTAATCATTCTATATAACAATTTGAAGTCATGACTTGTAGTCAGCACTTACCAGTGGTTTGTAAGCGTGCGCTTCAGTGTGCTCCTCCATGATTTCTTGCAGCCTAATGAACCACACACTTGCACCTTTTTCTAGCCTGACACCTGATTTCCTCTGTTGTGCTGCTCCATGATTGGCTCCAGCCTGCTGGACTGAAATTGCCCCAGTGTGCCCCTCCTTGATATCCCGCAACCCACCACCAGGGTTCCGACACATAACACACTTTTTTCAGGAAAGTAAACCTCCAGGGGTCCTTTCCATATTTTTACAGAGACTGCATAAGGACCGTTAGAAAAGCATTACCCATTGATTATTAAGCTTGGACCAGTGGGGTCCGGTGTTCGGGCCCCACCACGTAAAACCAGTCCCCATGACGTGAGTGGAATCTCAGGTTATGGAACCCACCAGGAGTTGAAAACAAGTGCACACACACACATACACACACACACACACACATGTATATATAGAAGATACATGTTTTTATATTTTTGTTCTAAACAGTAATGAAACAAGCACATATTTCTACATGCACAACTCTGTCATTGAGGTTCAACTTTCATTTTCTTTCTGTAAATAAATGATTAGATCTGAAGAGGAAATAAGAGAACATTCTGGATCTTTAGTCACGACTTCTTTATTTACTGTCCATGTCCTTCATGTTCTGTACAAGCGTCTGTGGACATTCCTAAGTTGAGAGATTGAAAGGTTTCACAATATCAACAGTGAATGCTGCTGAGTACTGGATGTTTGGAGTGTATTCCCACACTGTTGACCAATGGAGCAAAGTGTGTATTTTTAGGTGGAAAATCCAGGTACGTCAGTTCCAGAATGGACTCTCCTACTTTCTCAAAAAACATGCCTTTGTTTTTTGGTTTCCATTTATACCAGAAAATAATCACATCAGCTCATAGACTGTATTTATATTCTGTGTTATATTCAGCTATAGTTGTATCCCAGTATATATTTGCATAAATACTTCACCTTCTAAAATCATTACGTGAGTGAAGAATGAAAGAAATATGCAAAGACCACTGGAAATTTTCAATGATTTAAAGAAATTAGGAGCTGAAAACAGTGTTTTAATGTTATGTTATTGAACATTAGTTTATCCTTTCATTGACATCCCCTTTATTAATCCATTTCTGAATTGGGGGATGGCAATCAAAGCTGCCACCCAATGCACATGTACGTGCACATGTACGTGCACATGTACGTGCACATGTACGTGCACATGTACGTGCACATGTACGTGCACATGTACGTGCACATGTACGTGCACATGTACGTGCACATGTACGTGCAGGTGGTGAGTCCACGGAAGGATGACTGATCCGTCAGCGATGGCACAGCCTCAGTCTTTCAGCGGGGGCTACTAAGCCACTGAGCCACAGTTTCTCAGTACGTCAGTAAACTATGCATTATTGTTTCATTTGTTCATGAAAAGTTTGTAATTAGTTTTCTATCGTCATTTTTATCATGATCACAGTTTACATCTCTTAACTCTTGCCAATGCAGAAGGGTCTGAGGGCGACCTGGGACATTTTATGCATGTACATTGGTTTATGCATTATTATTGCATTTCTTTATGTTCCAAATGTTTGGTAAATCAACAAGCATGTGGAGTCCTTTTGAGAAAACTGATACTGCAAGTTTGAGCTATTGAATTGACGTCTTTGACTGAAGATGGCTAAAAAACCCAATCTGGACATATACTGTTGCTTTCTGTCAATATCGGGGGTTGGAAATACGGAGCCACAGTCACAAAGCTTCATTGGCTCATTGCTTAAACACAGAGGTTCCAACAGAAGGTGAAAGATCAGCCAGTTGGAAGCCCCGTGGTCGCGGGCGGTGCAGGTTATAGTGTGTGTATAAGTGTGCCTCGTCCCTTGGGTTGTGTAAAGAGACACTGGACAGCTGCCCCACTGCATGAACGCACAATAAACCTTCTTCTGAACTGCACTCTGGACCAGCGGCTATTGTTACAACATAAAAGAGAAAATCTTGAAATAATTGTGTATATTGTAGCATCTATAACTGCTGTGTACTATGTAAAATATTTAAGAAATACACACAACAATAACTACATTTACATTTCTGTGATAATATCCAGCAATAACAGTGCCCTACACACACACACACCAAAATGTTTTCCTTTTCTGTGTGAATTTCATGTAACTATTGATTTGAATTGTTTCTGTAGAATGAGATTTGTCAATTTCGTCTGATGCTTCCAGTAAAAACTATGAAAAAAAGTATTTAAAGTATAAATAAAGTATTCCTGCAAAAATCACCCACCAATCTTTAGCATTTTTGAGATTCTCATATACATGTAGGGACCTGTACAACTACTATGAGTAATATCATGACCTTTTCATTATTACCTTTTAACATAAAAAAAACTTCAGTGCGTGTTGTTGATAACGATGTGAACCTTTGCAATCGTTCTGAGTCATTGTGAAAGTGAGTCCAAGTCGTGTCTTGTCCGACTGACATTTCTTCATAATTAAGCATTCTTTAGGTAGTTATTCATGTGTGTGGGGATATTAGCAACCTCATTGTTGCTGTTGGGAGTAGTTATAGCAATAATAATCATTAGAACTATAAAATTAAAGAAGGACCTAGAACGGAGTAAAAATAATAATGATTTAATGAAGAGGGAGAAATAATGTCTATGGAAAAACAAACTCAAATTCCAAACGAAACTCAGGAACCAGGAATACGGGCGGACAAAGACAATGGACCAGCAACAAATACTGTAGGGATGAGCACTGTTTACATACAGACACAGACAGAGACACGGGTGGAACAGGAAGTCAAAGTAAAACAAAAAACAAACTAAAGTAAAAAACTACAATAACTAAAAATCCGCATCATGAGAACTACATTACTACAGAACTTTTATGACTTATTTTTCCACATATAGGCCTCACTTGAATATAAGCTGCAGCTGGCGAGGTGAAAATCAAAGCCTGGTAAATGTACTCCATTTTGATATTAATATTTTTACTACAATTAAGTCGAATGCTAGGTTAGTTCAGGAGCTCATTCGTACTTTTTCATGTAATTGATTCAATTAATTTAAGAAAAAACAGTTGTTCACTTCTATTGATGTTTTTTTGTCCAAGACTAGAGTATTGTAGCATGTATTATTGTAATATGAATATACGACCTTTGTCCCCAAATAACTAGTGATATATTCTGTATCTATAAAAGCAAGGAATGTCTGCCCAAGCTTTTTTGTGATTTCATGATGCTCAAGCATGCGCTTTTTAAGCAACTTTTGATTCAAATATTTTTGATGCTTCTGTTTTTTTTCTTAAATTCATTGAATTAATTAAATTAATTACATGGAAAAAGTATGAATGAGCTCCTGAACTCATGCGACTTAATTGTAGTAAAAATATTAATATCAAAATGGAGTATTTACCAGAAGGCTTTGATTTTCACCCCGATATTAAATCATTACAGCATAAAAAGCTGCAGCTTAATAATTATTGGTGAATTGGTTTTACTTAGTGGTTAATATTTAAACAAAACAACATGTGGAAATCACATATTAAATTAAACCATGGGGTTATTTCTATATCCAGTCTATATTTATAAAACTAAAAATGCACATTTGGACAGCGCATAGCCCGCCAACACCTTTTTAATTATAGCTCAACCATCCAGTTTTTTTTATGCAATCAGCTGCCTCCAGACAAACTAATTGGCTATCTATGAGTAGAATGTCTGGTATTCCATGCCATAATGGATATTAGGCATTGTATCCTAATGATGTGTTTGTGTGAACACTTTCAGCCCAAACAATCAGTTCAATAATAATTATGATGTGAATCCAACTCCTGAAGCAAGAACTGTATACACACGTGCCATTTAGACTTGCATGACTTTCACTGGAATATATGGCAACTGCAAAAGCCATAGATTTCACTGATAACGTCCTGTTCATTATCAGTGAAACTTAATGAGCCTTTCTGAAGCTGTTTTCTTTCCAACAAAGCGTGCAACCAAATCTTTCAGCACAAAGACACAAGCAATGCTTAGTCACCGCGTCTTTCAAAAGCCATATAACTAAATGTGTTTTGAACTCTTAAAGGGGCGGCGCGTGTCTTTATCCACAGCTGTTGTCTCCTGCCAAAGGCACAAAGAAGATCCAGAGACTATGCCCTTCTTACCGCCTGTGTCACGGTGCTTTCTCTTGGCCCACTGCTCAGGTTTCACGGCCCACACAAGTGAATCAGCTCTGCACGCTCCCGCCGGGTGAATCACGGTCTTGCCCCCACCCCTGCTCGTCTCCCCAGGGTGCCTCCGCGGTGAGTCAGGGGATGGGACAGAGGACAGGGTGCAGATCTCCTGGTGCTGAAAAGAGGGTCGACCAGGGGGTGCATGCAAAGAGGCAGCAGGTGTACAATGAAGAGTCTGAGTCACCACGGCAACTGTTGCAAGCGGCTCTTCAATGGATAAGACAGTGACAATCTGCATTGTGTGGACGTGACGGAGAGGGTAGTGTGTCACTGCGCTGGTGAACCGAGTTGCTCTTGAAACATTTTCATCTCAAACTGAGAGGGAGTGAGTAAATATCAATCTATCATATCTGTTACCACAAAACATAACTAGTACTAACCTGCATGCAACTTTCTGTTCATTGGTTGTGAACAGCGATGTGGAAGTGGTAGCCTGACCTGCCAGACCCACATGATTTTGCAAAACAAGTAAGCTTCATTTATACAGCGCATTTTTGCAGACCATGGTCATCCAAAGCGCTTTACAATGTTCAGAGTTCAGATATTTTTTTCAATACTGCATGAAAGTAACCAACCAACACCATCCATTCACTCACTCATTACATTCATACCTATTGTGCATGTTTTTAGTGGTAGGTGAAACCGGAGCACCTGGAGGGCACGGAGGAGAACATGCAAACTCCACTCGAGAAAGACGCTGTTCTGACCAGGATTCGAACCCTGGACCTTCTAGCTGAGAAGCGAGAGTGCGCACTGCTCAGCCACCGTGTCGCCCCATTTGATTGGACAAAAAACAGGAAGCAGCTGCAGCAAAACACTTTTTAAATGTATTTTTACAGTGCATGTCAACAACAAAAACTGTTTCGCTCATAGTGAGAAATGTTTTATTTCTACTATAACCTTTAACTGTATCGGGCAACATACAGCTCGCCATCTTGAATTTTGCACAAAGCAGTGGCCGCATCCAAATTGAGCAAGAAATACCTCCTTCCATGTCCTGTCTTGTCAAAATTCAATTCAACAAATTTCCGTTTAGCCCTGAATTACAACAGTAGTTATCTCGAAGGGCATTACAAAGTTGTTGATTCTCCAACATGGATCAGAGAATCAAACCATTCAGACGCAGGAAATGGAATGATATAAAGGGGCAGAGCTCAATGTTTATAAAAGTTTGTAATGTTGAAGACCATATACAGTATGTGACCTTTTGAGGAGACGGGTTTTTACTGTTTTTGGTCAATTTGATGCCACAAAGGTCAGTACAAAAGAGAGACAACAAAACAGAAGGAGACACATTTATTAGATTGGCTGTGGTGCCAGTTGCAAATTTTGCAGTTTATGATTGGTTGAAAGATTTTCTATTTTCCTGGATAATCTTCTCAGACGCTCTCACAATTATTTTGCACGGTTAGTTTCGGAACCCCGGCAGTCTGCTCGAGTTCTGGAAGTAAATGTTGATATTGATAATCCTTATGGGAGTTTCAAAAAAATGTATGATACTTCAAAGATACTGTAAATATAGGTCCTGGGATAATAACTCACTATGCACTGTGGCTGTTCAACATTGAGAAAACTTTCAATCTCAAAACAAAATCCTAACCCCTAAGGGAAAAATACCAGATTTGTTTTCACTTCCGGAACTTGGAGGTGGGCGGATACATGTAACTGCTTCTCAGTGACTCACCTGACTCTTCCTTATAATCATGCAATAGTTCGAATCTTTTCTTTGCAGCTGTCAATCTTAGTTATGTGTTTAACAATATTTTGTCATAAAACATAATAATTCTCTGACAGAAAGAATCTTATACATTGTTTTGTTTAACGGTAGACATTCACAACACATTCTGTCTTCATCTTACTAAAAAATATAAAAAAAATATGCTCTATGTTGCATACTAACTATTGGCTAACTATTTGACGTTGGGCTGAGTGTCTGACAGAGGGTCCTCTCTTTTGCACGTTTCTGTTTGAAAATATATGACTTAGGCCTAAAGTACATTTATATTCATCACGATATGGTCACTTGTTTGAGATCAGAATCTAAATTAATTTTATCACCATTGTAAAAAACTAGAAATTTGCTTTGACCCCAGGTGCAAACAAGATGTAAAGCCTGCATGAAACAATCTTCATGAAATGTATTCAAGTTTCCTACTAGTGCACACTAAGTACACACAATAGACATTTTACAGTGCAGTAACAGTAGAAAATGTCCCAAGCTGTGCAGGACAGGGCCTGGATAGTGCTGTGATGGGAGACCTCTGGGGACACCAGGTGCCACAGTGGGGCGGCTGTAACCGTTGTTGTGTCCTTAGGCAAGACACTTCACCCCCATTGCCTAGAAGGAGTCTGGTGTGTGTGTGAATGGTTGGTGGTGGTCGGAGGGGCTAATGGCACATACTAGTTGCCTCGCTTCTGTCAGTGTGCCCCAGGGCAGCTGTGGCTACAGTAGTAGTTTATCACCACCATGTATGGAGTGAATGAATAATGACATGTGAAGCGTCTTTGAGTGTCCTGAAAAGCTCTATATAAAACCAATGCCTTATTATTATTATTATTTTATCAAAGATTGCTAGTCGTAAGTTAGATGGAAATCACTACATTACCTTCTGTTTTGTCGCTTTAATACAAGACACGCTCCAAGTATAAATAATGTACATCTATTTTACTTCATTACAGCAACTCAATCTCATAACAGCAAATGCTAAATATCTGGTTATGACTCCGTGCTTTGTGCATTTGGGCGAGTGGAATTTGAGGGTGTAGAGTAGATACTGCCACGCACATTGCAAAAAGGCCCACACACACACACACTCCTACCCTCCGCCCGTGACAAGAGAGAAAGAGAGAGAAAGCAGTGAGTCACATGTCTCACAAATGCACTCACTCTCGCTCTCTCTCTCTTCACTCTGTCTTGTGTTGTCCTCCACGTGGGGCGCCCGCTGCTCAAGATGCACCACTCTACACCCACTGACTCACACACTCACTCCCACTGACTACACACATGTACAAAAAGGTCAGGCACACATCACAGCAGCACGTTACAAAGACTTTTCACAAACACTTCATGTACTTTCATCTCCAAAAGGACAAGGAGAGACTGTAAATGTTTTAGGTCAAATAGGAGTTGCATGGTATTCAGTTTCTTGCACCAGAATATACTGTATTTTCCTTTTGCTTCTTTGTTATGCTAGAGTTACAGACTTTTTACTTGCGTATTATTGTGCTGAAGTCAGAGATTTTATACCTAATTCTTGCTTCTTCATTTTGCTACAGATTTGAGATCTGCTTCCGTATTATGCTAAAACTAGAGATTTCAAACGTGCTTCCTTAATATGCTGAAGTCAAAGGTTTGATTTCATTTTTTTTTATTTTAGTATAGAGTTATTTTATCATGTGCTCCTCATTCATACTGTTCTGTAACCGCCGATGCAACACTGAAATTTCCCCACTGTGGGACGAATGAAGGATCATCTTAAATTGCATGGCTCTGGGTCACGCTAATAATATGTATTTTCGTGCGGTGAAAAATTATAATCTTGATAAATATACAAAATTAAAAGTTGGATAGATTTGAATGTTTTCATGCAATACATGTTTCATAGCGGGAGGCAGTAAAATGATTAAATACAATCCCACTGGGGTTTCAGGTTCCAGGAAGAGTCCTGTCCTGGCACTGATCTATCTGAATAAACTGGCCTTGCCTTGTCATTTGTAATTGTTTAGAACAGTGTTTTTCAACCAGTGTGCCGCGGATTGTTAGTGTTCCTTGAGATGTTATTCAGTGTGCCTTGGGAAATTATTCTATTTCACCTATTTGGACAAAATAATGAAAGAATTAGAATAGAAAGACGTCTTTGCACTTTTCTATATAAAACTCTTTGATAATCAGTGATATCAGTTTGTATCCATTTCAGCAGGTGGTGGGCCATGAGATAGTTTGAAATGAAAAAGGTGTGACCACGGCTCAAAAAAGGTCGGGGAACACTGGTCTAGAATATATTAATATAGAATAGAATAGAATACTTCATAACACTTCATTTTTGCCATATTTTGTATAATTCTGCGTGATGTTATGTCTGTCTAAAGCACTTTGAGTTGCACTGCTTACATTGTACTTACCATCCATCCATCCATCTTCTTCCCCTTGATCCATTTCTGGGCCTGGGGGGGTGGCAGTCAGAGCTGCACCCAGTTCACAGAGCACCAGCCCCTCACTGATCCTCCTGCAGGTGGTGAGTCCACAGGAGCCTTGATTATTCAGCAGGGGCTTCAGGCAAAGTGGGGTTGAGTGTTTTTGCCCAAGGACAAAACGACAGCAGTCATCAGTGGGAGTCGTGAAGTAGGTCTTGTGGTCGGCTCGAACCCACGACCTTCAGGCTCTAATGCCAATGCTCTACCAACTGAGCTACTGTCGCCCCACATTGTACCTTATAAATGAATTGAGATTGATTGAAATACATCTCAAATAGATATAATAGTTTTGTTTCGGTCATTCCATAAAGGTGACTAAAAAAAACTTTACATATTTCACTCCATGCGCAATTCATCTGTTTATTAATGAGTTTTACTTTCTGACATCACCGTTTAGTTTTTCCACTCTCATTATTTTGTTTCATGTACTGTTATGTATGTCTGTTTTTTGTTTTTTCCCATTGGCATTAGGAGGGACTTGCTGATTTGAAATGACTGCAGCTCTAGAGAAATGAAACACTGTGGGCGTCCCCTGATGTTGTTGTGTGAGTGGAGTTTCCTGAAGCAGAGGAATCCCCCGCTGCTTTCACTTTATCATGACACCACACACTGTTGCACACAAGATACACCGTTGCACATGTTTGGAAAAGGTCACCGCTGCAATACACACACTTTCAAATAGTCTGATCTTTTGCCGCCTTTGGGATATCAGAATCAGAATATTTTTTATTGCCATCATACAGTGCAAAAAAATAAAAAAAATGAGGTAATACATGCTTGAGACAAGATTTGCCAATGGTACACGCAAAAATGTCTTGTTTTTAAAAAGATCCGAGAAAAGTGTCGTCCTTGGATTGAGAAATTAATTGCAACAACACTTGAAATAAAACTAAAAGGCTTGTTCCATTGGCAATTATTGTTTTAAGACAAGAATATACTCAGATGAACTTAAAAGCCAATGATTCAAGCAATTTTTTTACCTTATGTGTCATGTTTTTGCAGTGTATGCAACAGGAAGTCACACATTATAGGCTTTGGTTCATG